TTACAAAAAATTAACTTTAAAGATTGACTGACCTCTTAAAAAAAGAAATTAAATTAATTATGTCTGAATTATAGAAAGATTCACTGGGAGACTGGCAGAGAATGCCACCTGGCATTAAGTCCGCCACTGTATTATGTGCAAAAGTATAAATAGATAAATTTACCTCCAATGTGATTGAGTACAATAAATCTATTGAGTCTCATTCTTTGTAGGTACTTACATACAAAATTAAATATTAAAATAGTAGATAAGTTATACTGGTAGGACCATCAACTATTTACAGATTTATTATTCCTGTTTAAATAAGAAAGCGNAAAAATAAGAAAGCAAAAGTACCTAGGTACCTTTTTATATTGTATTATTAATCACTATCATGTGTGTTCATTATTCTCCTATTCTTAATTTCTTTGAAAATAATTCTCATCTGGAGAGATAAAGTTTGAAAAGTGTACAGTATTAATAAAATCATCCAAACTTTAGAAAACAGTGTTTTTTATAGTTTTCTTGTCTTAGGAATGGTTTTTAGTTTAAATGCGCCGAAAATGGGTTCAATACGAATTGTTCCAAAATGTATCAAACAAAATAAAGTAGGTTCATTCAATACGAATTCAAAGTAAATAAGCATTTCGTCCATTTTTACTCAGTTAACTTGCGAAGCGGTGACATTATCTCGTCCCTCTATAACGCGCTCACGCGCCGAGCGACCCCTCGCTATCTATAATGACTCGCTTAGTTGTTGCGTCGCTTTTTCCTGTATTGCAATTTTCGCAATTGCACATTCATTTTTATGTAGTTAAATTGTATTATTAAACAAACCGCAGCAGCGTGCAGTTCAGGACCGTGCATTGTGGAAAACCTTGGAGGAGGCCTTTGTCCAGCAGTGGACGTCATTTGGCTGAAACGAACGAACGAACGAACGATTAAACAAACAGCCAACGTAAGGGGCCATGGGGCGCCAAAGTCCGTTTAGCACGAGAGGGCGAGGATATAACGCAACTTTCCTAAAGCTGCCCAACTAAAATAAGTACACTTTTCTGGCTCAAAGCTTCTCTGTCTAACTACACTTATAAAGACATAGAACTCATTGTGATAGACATAGAACACATTGAACCGCCTCTGTGCTCTAGTGGTAAGACCACCTGCTTCAGACGCAGAGGTCCCGGGTTCGATTCCCAGTGGGGGCAGAATTTTCTGTTCGGTTTGGTTGGTGGTAGGGCTTGTTCTAAGTCCGCCTGGCTAGCTACCACCATCTTACCTAAGTCTGTCGCCATAACAACAATGTTAACAGCAGTGTTGTGTTCCGGCAGTTAGAGGTAAGATAGCCAGTTCCTCCGTGGTTGAGGATTCCGGGTGAAGCTCGCTTCCACCTTCGGCCTGATCGTCACTTACCATCAGGTGAGATACAGGCCAAGAGCTTCCTCGTTGTGGATAAAAAAAAATTGTCTTTGTCTTGAACGTGACCTTATCGTATCTTATCTATATATATAAAAATGAAACCCGTTTAGCGTTGTCACGGCATCACGTGTGAACGGCTGAACCGATTTCGATAATTCTTTTTTTTTAATGTTTGTGGAAGTCCAAGGATGGTTCTTACGGAAAAAAATATTAAGAAAATCTCTACGCTAAGGCGGTACGAAGTTCGCCGGGTCAGCTAGTATTGAATATTAATTCTTCTGCCTTATGACTTTCCATGTCTCTTCCCCTTATAAAGTGAATTATCTTTAAATACAAACATAATTAATATGTGTCAGTCACCTTACGATAACATATTAGCACCTGTAACTAGCAAGCAACACTTGCAACGCGTGTCGCAACGATAAATTCGTTAGTCTACTCAAGGTTTCAAAACAATATTTCTATTTCTCTTCAAATTACTGAAGTTTAACTTTATAGATACTTCAGGAGGGCAACTAATTCAATAACTAACATCAGGAGGGAGTTCTTAACTTCGTCTCGATAAGAAACCGATTTAAACAAGTCTCTCTCGCCTCCATCTTTCTTTCTTTGCATTCTGGCGTAAAGGGCAAGAAACTGCCACCTTTGTCGGCCCTTTGTTTATACGGGTTAATACATTTCACAAAATGCAATATGTATATGCAAGCTAGGTCGTTAATTAAAGTCTATGCACTCTTGTCATTTAAATACAGTATTTAAATGAAATAGCCATCCCATATTATACTTTTTTTGTTAAGGTTTTCCAGTTACGTCTAACAATACTGCCTAATCCTTCTTATTTTCTTTTGCTACACTAGGTAGGTATTCACCTTTGTTTTTCGGACTAATCTGTATGTTCATGAGCTGACTGAAGTTATAAAATATGTGTATCAATCACCTACATTCCGATATTCTACAATATCCGGTTGATATGTTTATCGAGAATTAGTGATTTTATTTAATACTTATCATAAATATTATGAAGTTTAGATAACGTCTTAATTAATCCGACAGTTAAGTTTAATTAAGTTACTGAAGCAGCTGAAAGTAACCTACCTATTATCGTGCAAGCAGGTTTTATTTCTGAATTGAAAAATACTGATACTTACTCATGACATAATATTATCTATCATCTGCCTGCTAAATATCGATAACTACTGAAAAGTACGATCTCGTCTTCACAGTCGGCGCATTAAATTCACCTTTGACTTTTAGAAATGTGATTACAAACTTCAATTATCTTTTGTTAGATATTTTCAAGCTCAAGAAACATAATAGAAATTTTAATAAAATAAATTACGGTCTACACATTATTTGTTTTATGAAAATTGCTATGTAATCTCGAGATATCTGAAAATAGCTAACTATTGTTAACAAAGTATATTATTAAAACTATAATATTATTTAAAGCGTATTTTTTGAAAGTCAAAGGTGAAACTGAATGTGAAGAAGAGATCGAACTTATCAACTAATATCAGTAAGTTATCAATATTAGCAAGCAGATGATGCATTATGTCACGCACGCACGAGTATAAGCTTAATATTAAAATTCAGAATTAAAACTTTACAACTGCTTCAGTTAAATAATTAAGCTAAACTGTTCGGTTAATTTTGTTAACGTTACAAGGTAATTAAAATAGAAATTTTATTAATTAAACATTTTTCCAATGGGCTGTACATTGTAGTTGTTAAAAGTTAAATAATCAACTTATTGCTCTATGTATAATCTAGGTATTATGGAATTTGTTTACATGCCCACTTGAAATTTTGAAAAACATGTTTTGCTCTGTTTTTCAATGCCTACAACAGCATAATAAGCTATGCGCAAAACTACAAGGCCATCTCACCGATAACGTTTGTTTATGCGCGCACGCAACTTTCAGTGAATGTATTGTTCAATTTTAGTGCTTAGCATTGTATGCATAAGTTTTAAATCGGGTCAGTAGAATATTTTTTACTGGATGCTAGGTAGGCGGCCTTGGTGGTCTTAAATAATACGTCGTATAACGTCGCCATCACATCTGTGAGGCGTAAACACTACGTCACGACACACCCATTCTTAGACAAATAAGGCTGCTGTATTTTGTTACCATATTATTTTATTACCCTTCATAGGATCAAACATTCAGAAATTCTCCAGTAAAGTTCCTGAAAATTTCAAATCTTTATATAGGTTTACATCGTTCTTTATACGGATATAGGTTTATTAACATTATCTCCTAAGTTGGGATAGGCAGTCCCAACAGTCTTTCGTTTACCACAGTAAGAACTTTGCCATGAACAAGTCGTACCTAAGTGTCAAGCCTAGTTTTACAAAAACAATTAGGTAATAGAGCCATGTAATTTAGTACTAATTCTCTGCATATTAAACCACTTCAACCGAAAACAAGATAAGAAAAAAAATCAGACTGAATAAAAAGGTGAATTTCCGGCTATCATGTTTAGAAAATTTTCAGTAGATGTAATTCTATAAAGTAGTTTAGTTTTATTGTAATTTCATATTTAAAAGGTGCGTTACACTGCTAATTAAATTAGTACCATAAATAAAAAATAAGACCTCAAGAAAATTAACAATACCTTTTGTTGAATCCAATCGATCTTGTTAGTCGTCTTTGTGACGATAGATGTTTTTAAAACACTAACCGAGATAAGAGTGTTTAATGAGATTGAATTTTTGAGTCTTTTAATAAACACAGTAGCAATACAACTTCAATTAGATATAACAAATCTTTAATTAAAGCAAGTGGTCCTATTTATATCAGAATAAGAGACGATTATTGCACCTCGACTCTTATTTGCACATTTTTTATCCATTTCAAATTATCAAACTAAAGTAATGTCAACAATAGTTTAGTTAGGATAGGAGCAGAAATGTATTTTCTAAAAAAATATATTTATAAATACTCAACTCTTTACTTTACGACATAAATTGACTCTATATCTCCAGCAATGTTCTACTGTAACGGGTACTTTTTTCTTTAAAAATACAAATTATTACATAAATTCCAAGTAATATAAAATTACTAATTATCCGGTTCTCCTAAACAAAAGGATATTGGAATAAATGTTTACTCAGATCCGGTTCATATTCTTTTATTGTAATCAGTTAGAAAATGTGACGATAACACATAATATCAGACTGAAACATCGAAATTAACTTATCTTTTGTTTATTTTCATAGTAACATAGGTAGAGTCACCTTGTGCTGCGTTATGTAAGCACATAAAAGTCAAGCTCCCATTATAACTTAATCCGAAACGACGAGTTTTATATTTAAGGTAAAGTAAAAAGAAACTTTCGCAAGTGGTGTGACCAGACATCACGCCATGCCGCGCGATCGGAGTATCGGACCATCGTCGTACAGTCGGCCTCGCGGATGTGGGCTCGCGCCTCAGGCTCGAACTGAGCACGTGGTTGTGTGTAACCTCTGTCACTGCTGTATGAGTATATGTATCCACATACACATACAGTCTGACGACACGACGTCACGCCACCAACGTCAGGCCGCGATATCGTCGTTTTGCACGCTCTCTACCACAGTTCACACAGTTTATTGGTAGAGTCGACGCGAATAACACGCGTTGAAGTCTCACCTAGTGCTTGGTTGGTTTCGTGATTGCAGCTGACAAAAGTATATTGTTGTCAAAGACTGCCATCATCACACAAGGCTAGTTCTGGTGCCGCAGACTGTTGTTCTTGTCTGGCACAAGAAAAAATTAACGAGCTGCTCTTTGTAAAGGTAGGAAATTCTACGGAAATCAATTAACGTAAAGTTCTTTGAATTGTGCAGTTGGCCAGTGACTAGTTGCTAACGAGGGGTTGATCATACATATTGTTGCAATTAATAAAGCTGTTGCCACACCAATTTAATAACATTACATTCTAGGCTATAAAAATATTGAAGGTGCTTGCTTGATACTTGTAAAGTTAATAATGTGAAGAACTTTTTCAACAATAGAAAAACAGGCACCAGTTTTGTTTTCACTTTTGTACGGTTGATTGCGTTACTTCGTTACCTTATTATCTAGTTGTTCCTACTTTTTATTTTTAACTAGGATGTTTACTAGGTGAAGTGTTTTTTGTTTGTTCGTTATCCCACTCGTAGTCTGTAATTTGTTGTGAGTATATTCTCAATGGATTTTGAGTCATCGAATAAATTGGATTAGACTATGAACAATATGACTCAACGACATAATTTCGTTTCCCTGAAAGAATTTGATAAACTAGCCATCCAAAACAATAACACGTAGAAAGTTAAAATGACAAGATCAGCGTGAGACGCTCAAATTACTGTATTTGTGTGAGACTATAATAAAATAACATTGTTGTTGTTTGTGCGTTATTGTAATATTGGGTCACTTTTTATCTTCGGAACTTGCAAATATGGGCCGCTCTACTATTTTTGTGGCTCTATCATTGCGTGCGGATCGGCCTAAAAAGGCAATAATGTCCATAATATTATATATTGTCTTTTAAGTTATTATTCATGATTCTACACTACATACCACATCAGATTCAAGACAAGACTGTTTTTTGGTCCAAATATTGAAACTCTACCAATAACTTAGTCGTGTTTTGAGCTTCATTTCATCTTCTTCGCCTGGCCCATTCCCATTTTATTTGGGGTCTGGTATCATGCGTCTCCGTCTCCAGCTCGGTCCTGGGTCGTCTCGCTGTTGACTTGGGCCTCTTTAAGGCTTAATTTGAGCTTCATTTTATAATGCATACAAATATTTTATGAAAATGGAACAAAATATAAATTTTGTGCAGATGTTCTGAACTACATTTATGTTCTTATTCCTTCCTTTATTGACGGCATTGACTACAAAATCGATCTTCACCTTGACGTGTATGTTCACCGCGGAAGGACCTGTTCTATCACACTTGAACACATTACTTACTTACAACACTCTGGCAATACGCTGTTTGCATGATTAACCTTATGAGGACTTCTTCGACATTTCTATTTTTAAAAAGTAGGTACCTAAACGTATAAAAATATTACGTAATACGTAAGTGGTTTATTTGTTGCTGTTGTTATGTTACCGAACTCGAAATACCACTGCGAATTTTAAAACTTAAACATAACAATAACAACATATTATTTTTGTTTATGTATATTGCTCTACAGTAATTTTTAACAAAAACTTAAATCAATCTTAACTAAATCCGTAGCTACTAATAACGTTGAACAAACATTGATTGACTGATTCAGTTAGCTAATTATTGGTGTCAGGCTAGATCTAGATTTTCTTTTATACGCTCATATTTGTGTTGGAATTTTTATTGGGTTTGGTTTTTGCAATAACAGTTCAAGGTCAGTATGTTGTCCACTTCAGTCTATTGTCATTGTTAATTAACTTATGGTTACTATCAAATAACTGCAAATTATTCATCTATATCCCGTCGTGTTTACGACTTCGAAGGAATCGGTGTTGTTTTGTTTCTAATGTTTTGTTTGTTAGATTATGTTGTTGTTTCTTGACCAGACACGTGCATAATAACGTGTAGCTCGACGCACTTCAGTAGCTGGCTCAGTGTATAAGGTTTCTATGTGTTTACACTGGCCAGTATCAATTTACTATCAAAGTATTGATTCGCAAGTTTTGTTAGCTTTAAAAAAAGTATGTGGTGAATTTTATTATTATCGCGGTTGTTGGCATGAGCCCAATAAAATGTGGGTTACAGTTCAAGCAATGGCGAATTACTGATGACAGAAGCGGAAGTCATTTATACAGGGTGTAGATTGGGTGAATCAAACTGATAGGGAAGGTAGCTCTACTAATGTACTATCCCTAAAAAATATGAAAAAAAAATAAAGCTCATAAGGAAACAAAAAAAATATTTGAAAAAGTGAAAATAAATCAGCTTTGCCCAAGTATCTGGCTGTAATTGCTGCGTTTGGAGTTTATTTGTACTTTTTTCTTACTAATATTAATTGTACATGATCGCTTCGTTTATCTGTATACAAACTTTTAAAAATAATGACTAGATTTCGAGTTTAGAGCACTTTATTTTTTTTTTAAATCTGAACTCAATTTTTTTCCATATTTTTTAGGGATAGTACATTAGTAAAGCTACCTCCCCTAGCAGTTTGATTCACCCATTCTGGGACACCCTGTATATTATTGAAAAAATGATATTATTTAGTGTTACAGCATAATTTGACAATTACAATTTTCATAATTGAATTTTACTAAAGTTTCCACGTTCGTTCGTTCGTTCGTTCGTTCGTTTCAGCCAAATGACGTCCACTGCTGGACAAAGGCCTCCTCCAAGGCTTACGCTCGAAGCCGACAGCTCGAAGGCGACATAGCTCGCAGAATTGCTAAAACCAAGTGGCAGTGGGCGGGGCACATAGCTCGTAGAGACGATGGCCGTTGGGGCAGAAAAGTTCTCGAGTGGCGACCACGGGCTGGAAGACGTAGCGTGGGCAGGCCTCCTACTAGGTGGACCGACGATCTCGTAAAGGTCGCGGGAAGAGCCTGGATGCGGGCAGCGCAGGACCGTGCATTGTGGAAAGTTTCCACATTTTGACCTAATTACGATGTCATGTCAGTAAGACTGATGTTTTTAAGTATGTTACATGAAATGTGAGTCTTCATAATTAATTGCACACGTAATACCTACTAATTAACGTAGCTGAAACAAAATTAATATGACAGATACTTTATAAAAAGTAAAGCAAAAGTTAATACAAAAGGAGCAATGGCCGAAAGTTATTGAACCGGTTTTAAAAAATATTCTAAGATAGCATATCTGATAGAAAGTACATTACTTACATGTACCTATGCAAAACAAAAAAGCTTCGAAGGAACCATATTACATATTCGGATTAGAGCTCCTTAGACGTTAATGTGCCTTCTTCGAAAAATGAAATTTAATGCAGTGTAGAGCATCAGAATTCAGACTAGTTTGGCAAATAGTTATCAACCTTGAGGTTCAGTTTTCGGTTATATTTTTCAGCTTTCAAATTGTATCGCAGCTCAGACATATAGTTTCAGAAACGTGCTTCCAATTACTATTGACCCGTCAGGTTATCTAATCTAGCTACGGGCTAGTTTGCAGACCGCGTGCTGTAAACATGTCTTATTATCTCGTGAAATAAGAATATTTAATTAGCATTTTAGGTTGAGGTGAATATCTAAATCAAATCTATCAATTATTGAGCAATATAAACTTGATACATTGCTGAAACGTTTCAAATTTCAATTTTTAAAGTGATTTACAAACTCTCAGCGCTATGTTATAATAATGTTATTAAAGTATATCGAAGACAGAAGAGTTATATTCCCTTTTTCGAGCACTAACTAAGCGAAACAAAATTTATCTTCTGCAGTTTTTATTAACATAGCGATACAATTTATAGTGATTACAGGAAACTATGGATGGAATGTTGGGTTATTTTTATAAAACTTTTGTACCAAATGTCTTTGTTTAAGAAACTAGTTATATCTTTATAGATTCTTAGTCACACAGGACAGAGTCCTCACAGCAAGTCATTACGCACACCTTGCCCGCGTGCTCTTTTTTGTTCGTGGCTTTTTCCAATGTCATGGCTGTGAGATGATCTGGGGTGAATGAATTATGTTACCATTTCGGTTATAGAGCACTTGTCTTGCCTTAAAATAAAACTGGCAGAATGTCGTTGTTAGGCAAGTACATTTTGCACCGCTTAGGTCGGTGTGTGTTAATACAATTAATAATTACAAGCCGTATCTTGCAATTAAATCAATAGCACTATATTGCTATGTGAAGTAACTGCATTGCTACTGTTTCTTGCAATCGTTTAGTTAGTTAGACATTTATATCTTGCTCGATTCAACCATACAATGTTATGCAACATCCTGCGCCTGGTGCCTGGTAGTGCATCGACCTAATATTTCAAGTGATATCTGTGCACATAACGTGGTCACGCTATCCTAAAATACATTTCATCATTGTTTTTAATTTATGTATGATATTGAAGTTAAATTCTTCAAAATATTATGTCGGAGTATTGAGATTAACGTTCTAAGCCTTTATATTATTGATAACACCGATAAAAATCGGCCCATGAATTACTTCATCGTGATCATCGGATGTTTCTTATCTCTACATGTAGATGTATTTGTAGTGCACGTGGCCACTTGTTTTTCTAACCGATACCAAAATAATGCGCACATTAACCCACATATTTTGATTGCTGGAGATTTCCTTCTATCTTTGGTCTCTACATTCAGTAGTTGAAACTTGTTTTGATCAAATATTTATCATATTGTTTTGCTAGTCGCATGGTTCCTTATTTTGTACATTAGTACCTGTATTTTGGTCATATTTTAAGGTATTTTGATGAACATATGATTTTCAGGTGTATTAAATTGATCTTAATCGGATTTATAGCGTCAATAATTCATTTGAGCTACGTGATTAAACTAATCAAGAAATTATTTAAATGCGGAAAATTATCAGTGAAATTTCTTTGTTACAGGACTTAATGAACGTGTCATCGACCCGCTAACATGGGGTAGTATAGTGAATGAACTGATAGACAAATTAGCAACAATTGTAATTTAGTGGATTTTCTTAGTACAAAGGAGTGTGATTAAGTGTTAGCCATGTATTCTATGAACTATATTGGCAAGTTCATCGCGAACTTCCGCGATTTCTACAACGAGATCAATGGGGCTACGTTGACCGGCGCCATCGATGTGGTGGTGGTGGAGCAGCCTGATGGTAGTTTCACGTGCTCGCCTTTCCACGTGCGCTTCGGCAAGCTTGGCGTGCTCCGTTCCAGGTTCAAAGTGGTAAGTGTATTTTATTTTATTAAATGCAATCCATTTTCAATACTGCTGCTGGTATCGGCTTTATTCATTCAGTAATATATTGCATAAATTAATTAACTTGTGTTAACTAGAAGTTTGGCACTGTCTATCTACACTAACGTCTCTATTTATTTCATGCACGAATGAGGAGTTTTATTTACCAGCGAATAACGCATTATTTCTGGGTTAAGAAAAAAGGCAAGAAAGCTAAAGCTGATTAGGGATTGAATTAATCCTACTAATATTATAAATGCGAAAGTTTGGATGTCATGTCTGGATGTTTGGATGTCTGGATGTTTGTTACTCTTTCACGCAAAAACTACTGAACGGATTTTGTTGAAACTTTACAGTATTACTGTTTATAACCCAGATTAACATAATAGGCTATAATTTATGACGATCTGTGACATACTAAATTTCACGCGGGTGAAACCGCGAGCAAAAGATAGTATAGTAATATAGATGAAACTATTTAACTTTTCTAATTTCGTTTTCTGGGAAACAATGTCAGCTCTACCATGGTCTATACCTCGTCAATAGATCAAAATACATGATCATTTGACTGATAATACTGCTGCTGGTATCGGCTTTATTCATTCAGTAATATATTGCATGCATAATTAATTAACTTGTGTTAACTAGAAGTTTGGCACTGTCTATCTACACTAACGTCTCTATTTGAGTTATTTCATGCACGAATGAGGAGTTTTATACTTTCATTTACCAGCGAATAATGCATTATTTCTGGGTTAAGGAAAAAGGCAAGATAGAAAAAACTGGTTAGGGATTGCGTTGCATTGAATTGCGTTTTCTGGGAAACAATGTCAGCTCTACCATGGTCTATACCTCGTCAATAGATCAAAATACATGATCATTTGACTGATTTCATCATTGAATAGAACAGGGTTTCCCAATTTATTTTGCCAAGGAACCCTAATTGATTATACTTTTCCTAGCGGAACCCCCGTCGTACTCCGCCCGCACGCCCTGCCCCTCCCTTGTGCGTAAACAAGCAGGTGCGTGCGAACAACGTCGGTCACGAAACGTGGGATAATATTTTTTACGGAACCCTTGTGGCCTTTCCACGGAACCCCAGGGTTCCGCCGACCACCTTTCGGGAACCGCTGGAATACAATACGATCGCGGTAAATGATGAAAGAAATTAGTCCCGAACTAGCAAAATATTCTTAGCTTAGTCCAGAGTCCAATTTTCACACTACAGTATTCAGTCTCAAACAGGGGCAATTTGAGACGTAGTAGGTATTTAAAATTTTCATTTAGCGAGACATGTATTGGCCTACTGCCAGTTTAGTTTGCAAATTTTAAAGCTATGTCGATGACCTTGATTTTTGTCAAATTATATTAAAGGGAAGCGTCAAGGTTTTCTTATAGAATGATGTTTTTATTGCGGCCATATTCTGAATCTAAAAAAAGTCCATGATCAGGAGACAAACTGGTTATACAATATGGTAATTGGTGACGAAAATGTATTAATAACGATATAAGTGTTTTTACAGTTGCATAACTTATACATATTCATCTACTTAAAACAAAACAACAATCCTTTGTTTAAATATAAAAAATGATTAAGTTAAAGTAGGTATGCGGTTACTTCTAATTAATTCCTTTTGTTTCTTTAACCTACTGCCACACAACAGCGAACAGTGACATATGGCGGTAAACTGGTAGGTATTTATCAATACTACCTATCAAAGTTTCTTTGTGTACCCAAGTGATATTTATGCGACTTCCTACAGATGTGGTGTGGTCATTGGTTGGCCAATCACAAGTCGCGGGTCGTTTGACGTCTTATTACGCCATTACATGACCCCTTTGCACCAAGACCTGTCAAATGTTATGCATTGATCTTGAAAACATAAATTAATAATTGTGTCTACATTCTCATATTATTGAAATAACAAACACATTATTATCTAATCATTAGAACTTCTGACGTCAAAAGAACTGCTCAAGATGACGTTTTGATTTACAAAAACGCAAACAAATTCTTGAATTAGATTAGATTTATTGAAGGTCAATCAAAATATGTTACATCTTATTTATATCAATATTTGGAGCTAGTTAATAGGTAATTATTTTCGACCTCATTCAAGGTAGCCTAGAATTCAAATGTTCCGTGTAGCAAAATCCAATGGAACGACTTAACAGATTTATATTTGCGACATCCTCCGACCTTCTAAAAGCCGCGCCTCTANCGCCTCTATCCTCTATGCATGCGAGTTGAAACGTTCATCTTCGTTCTTTAACATTTGTATGATGTGAAATGTGAACTTGTGACCTTTAAGGAAACATCCGATAGATTCTTACTTGTATGTTACGTTAACTACAACACTATTTGCGACAATAAATGATAATAAATTATCGTAGTAGGTTACTGTGGTCTGAATGTTTCAAAACAATACTATCATTAACCAGAATAACTAAGTATCATTTGATAACACAGAATACTTTATAGTTTTTAGTTCAGTAACAACTACGTGATTGCAGTGATCAAATGAATACAAAATGTAATAAAGTAGGGCCAAAGTCCAAAGCAAGTTTTATTATTAGCATTTCCGAGAAATTTGATAAGAGAAAATTGGCATGATGCTCATGATGTTTGGTAGCACTATAATCATCGCTCGTAGGTGGGTATTAAGCAACGAATTCATATTAATATGTTAGTTTTACAAGATTATTATTGAAATTATTTATAGAATCTTCTTCTTTTCGTGTCGACAACAAACCTACACAGTGTCAGCCCATTCATAGAATGTTCGTACGATTAAATGAATATCCAATTTAACAATAAATACTTCATAACTATGTGCAAATGGTAGCTATGTGCAAATCAGCGCAATCGGTAGCTATAATGTCCATAAATAAACTTAGCTTAGCAACAGATGGTGATTGCACTCGTCGAACAAACAAAGTTGTCGCAAACAAAGCATTGTGAACAAAATGAGTTTGGACTGGACGTTAATTTACACCTGCATCTTATCATTTTAAGATCTGAATTTAACGCTATCATATCGTTGTATGAAATCAAAACCAATAAATAGCTACTTTTACTGTATGTATGTTATAATATACTAATGTTATAAAACAATCTTATGCAATATTCAAACGCAAATACCTATGTCATGGGATTTGCATGTATTTGTAAACAATATCAAATAAACATTTTGATTAGTAACAATATGTGACATCTAGACAATGAACTGTTCAAACAATATGTGATAATCTAAAAGAAAAACGAGCTGAGCACGAATACTCATGACGTTGGGGACTTGGGACTGACGTCAGAAGATTCCACTCATATCATTCGTGATTTATTTTAAAATGTGTATAAATAAATGCATTATGTAGGTTGATTAAAATTGCACAAGTTAGAACCTTGTCGGCGAATAGTGAAACTCGTATGTAACAACCGCGGAGAGAGGCGCCTAGCGCGTCGGCTGTCACCGTCTAGAATGATCTAAACCGGATAGCTGATACTTTGATCGAATTCATTCATTGCTTCGGGCCATAAAACCCTGAGGATTTACATTCTACTGTTGTTATGAAAACATGGATGTTAATAGAGACATTTTAGAGGTCAGTGATCATAGAATTCATTCAAATAGGTCCCAGTTATTTTTAATTCAAAGCAGCGAGTAAACTAACACCTTACACAGGGTAATCCTCAATTATTTCTAAGATTGTTCACACAATTTAGGGAAGGTGTTTAGTGTTTTGTTTTAGAATTAACATAGACACATTGCCAAAACAAGATGTGGAATCTGCGTCTGATTCATTGTGAAAATTGGAATATCGCCAAATGTGGGATAAAGTTCGACCCAAGAATTGTGAGGAAAATTTGGCACAAATATTTACTCTATCCGGCCACCTGTTTTATTTTTACATGGTTTTAAATTTAAAGTATCTTCGGGAGTATGACTTATTAAAGATTATAATGAGTTGACTAGATAAATCTGGAAATAGCTAAAAAAATTCCATCAAAATTTTCCCCTATGTTTGATGGATCGTAAATAAATAATCGACTTATACAAAAAGCGCTGAGATGGAACATTCGGTTTTCAAGACAATAATCCAAATCTTCAACAGCAATTGGTAATCTCTATTCACCTGTATTTTAACTCCTAAAATGACTTCTCTAGGTGGACCTAGAGTTAAACGGTGAGCCGCTCAGCATTCACATGAAGCTGGGCGAATCTGGCGAGGCGTTCTTCGTGGAGGAGGTCGGGGAAGACGAGGCCGAGTGCTCGGCGCACCTGGCCACCTCCCCCATCCCGGCAGCTCGCTTCGAAGACCTCTATGAGCCGCGACGCCGCAACTCCCTCTCAGCCGTAGAACCCGACCACGGACAAGCCTCTGACTACACTAAGCGGAGGTGAGCAGTCATATTGTGAGGCACACTTAAAGTCTAAAATATTCCTCGAAACGCACCTCTTAGTTGCGTTTGTAGAGTACCTAAAAGATGTGCTTCACTGCCTAAAAGGTACGCTGCGAGGAATAGTTTAGGTTCGCTTCATTAGCCGCGCCTGTAGATGGGTGCGCTTCGAGGAATACCTCGATGTTGGAGTATTAATTACACTCGTGTACCTACTCATGCGCCTTGACTCCATCTCGATTGGCGGAAGCCGGTCGTTAAGGAGTTAAGATCATACACGCAATCTTTTTAACGCATTAGACTAACGCGATTACGGTTTCACAATTCTAGAGAATAACCATCAGAATAAATGTTTGTAGCCTTGACAGTGACACGCCTATATTCAAGCAAGTAAACAAAACTGTAACTGAGTATATTTTTGTGTCGGAAAATTCTACCTCATTCATTACTATTCATNAATATTTATAGTGCCTCGCGTTCGCACTTTCAGCCACCCTAAAAGCTGTCTGGCAAGGCGAAGGAACCATCAGAAGTGTCTGGCTGATGAGGAAACTTCATCATATGATAGTTCAAATATTTTATGTAAATATCAGCTTTTATAGTATGACGTAAGTAGGACTACATTTTCATGAACTTTAAGGTGTCTGGCTAAGGACTGCCACCATGGTAGGTGTCTGTCAATTAATGACGTCATTTCTAATAACATTTTGAAGGAAATATCAAAAAATCAGCCTTTATACTTTGACGTAATTAAGTTGGTTTTTTACACACCTTTAGTACCGTCTGTCTGCCAAAGCCACCATGACCCAAACTTCATGTTTGGCCATGGTTCTTAGCTATGTTGGGAGCATGCGCTGACAAACTTTCAGCCTTTATAAAATAACGTAGGTCTGGCGTTCAGTAGCTCTTAGTCTAAAAGAAAAACGAGCTGAGCACGAATACGCATGACGTTGGGGACTTGCGACTGACGTCAAAAGATTCCACTCATATCATTCGTGATTTATTTTAAATTGTGTATAAATAAATGCATTATGTAGGTTGATTAAAATTGCACAAGTTAGAACCATGTCGGCGAATAGTGAAACTCGTACGTAACAACAGCGGAGAGAGGCGCCTAGCGCGTCGGCTGTCACCGTCTAGAATGATCTAAACCGGATAGCTGATACTTTGATCGAATTCATTCATTGCTTCAGGCCATAAAACCCTGAGGATTTATATTCTGTTCTTACGAAAACATGGATGTTAATCGAGTTATTTTAGAGGACAGTGATAGTAGAATTCATTCAAATAGGTCCCAGTTATTTTTAATTCAAAGCAGCAAGTAAACTAATNTGATAATAAATTATCGTAGTAGGTTACTGTGGTCTGAATGTTTCAAAACAATACTATCATTAACCAGAATAACTAAGTATCATTTGATAACACAGAATACTTTATAGTTTTTAGTTCAGTAACAACTACGTGATTGCAGTGATCAAATGAATACAAAATGTAATAAAGTAGGGCCAAAGTCCAAAGCAAGTTTTATTATTAGCATTTCCGAGAAATTTGATAAGAGAAAATTGGCATGATGCTCATGATGTTTGGTAGCACTATAATCATCGCTCGTAGGTGGGTATTAAGCAACGAATTCATATTAATATGTTAGTTTTACAAGATTATTATTGAAATTATTTATAGAATCTTCTTCTTTTCGTGTCGACAACAAACCTACACAGTGTCAGCCCATTCATAGAATGTTCGTACGATTAAATGAATATCCAATTTAACAATAAATACTTCATAACTATGTGCAAATGGTAGCTATGTGCAAATCAGCGCAATCGGTAGCTATAATGTCCATAAATAAACTTAGCTTAGCAACAGATGGTGATTGCACTCGTCGAACAAACAAAGTTGTCGCAAACAAAGCATTGTGAACAAAATGAGTTTGGACTGGACGTTAATTTACACCTGCATCTTATCATTTTAAGATCTGAATTTAACGCTATCATATCGTTGTATGAAATCAAAACCAATAAATAGCTACTTTTACTGTATGTATGTTATAATATACTAATGTTATAAAACAATCTTATGCAATATTCAAACGCAAATACCTATGTCATGGGATTTGCATGTATTTGTAAACAATATCAAATAAACATTTTGATTAGTAACAATATGTGACATCTAGACAATGAACTGTTCAAACAATATGTGATAATCTAAAAGAAAAACGAGCTGAGCACGAATACTCATGACGTTGGGGACTTGGGACTGACGTCAGAAGATTCCACTCATATCATTCGTGATTTATTTTAAAATGTGTATAAATAAATGCATTATGTAGGTTGATTAAAATTGCACAAGTTAGAACCTTGTCGGCGAATAGTGAAACTCGTATGTAACAACCGCGGAGAGAGGCGCCTAGCGCGTCGGCTGTCACCGTCTAGAATGATCTAAACCGGATAGCTGATACTTTGATCGAATTCATTCATTGCTTCGGGCCATAAAACCCTGAGGATTTACATTCTACTGTTGTTATGAAAACATGGATGTTAATAGAGACATTTTAGAGGTCAGTGATCATAGAATTCATTCAAATAGGTCCCAGTTATTTTTAATTCAAAGCAGCGAGTAAACTAACACCTTACACAGGGTAATCCTCAATTATTTCTAAGATTGTTCACACAATTTAGGGAAGGTGTTTAGTGTTTTGTTTTAGAATTAACATAGACACATTGCCAAAACAAGATGTGGAATCTGCGTCTGATTCATTGTGAAAATTGGAATATCGCCAAATGTGGGATAAAGTTCGACCCAAGAATTGTGAGGAAAATTTGGAACAAATATTTACTCTATCCGGCCACCTGTTTTATTTTTACATGGTTTTAAATTTAAAGTATCTTCGGGAGTATGACTTATTAAAGATTATAATGAGTTGACTAGATAAATCTGGAAATAGCTAAAAAAATTCCATCAAAATTTTCCCCTATGTTTGATGGATCGTAAATAAATAATCGACTTATACAAAAAGCGCTGAGATGGAACATTCGGTTTTCAAGACAATAATCCAAATCTTCAACAGCAATTGGTAATCTCTATTCACCTGTATTTTAACTCCTAAAATGACTTCTCTAGGTGGACCTAGAGTTAAACGGTGAGCCGCTCAGCATTCACATGAAGCTGGGCGAATCTGGCGAGGCGTTCTTCGTGGAGGAGGTCGGGGAAGACGAGGCCGAGTGCTCGGCGCACCTGGCCACCTCCCCCATCCCGGCAGCTCGCTTCGAAGACCTCTATGAGCCGCGACGCCGCAACTCCCTCTCAGCCGTAGAACCCGACCACGGACAAGCCTCTGACTACACTAAGCGGAGGTGAGCAGTCATATTGTGAGGCACACTTAAAGTCTAAAATATTCCTCGAAACGCACCTCTTAGTTGCGTTTGTAGAGTACCTAAAAGATGTGCTTCACTGCCTAAAAGGTACGCTGCGAGGAATAGTTTAGGTTCGCTTCATTAGCCGCGCCTGTAGATGGGTGCGCTTCGAGGAATACCTCGATGTTGGAGCATTAATTACACTCGTGTACCTACTCATGCGCCTTGACTCCAACTCGATTGGCGGAAGCCGGTCGTTAAGGAGTTAAGATCATGCACGCAATCTTTTTAACGCATTAGACTAACGCGATTAAGGTTTCACAATTCTAGAGAATAACCATCAGAATAAATGTTTGTAGCCTTGACAGTGACACGCCTATATTCAAGCGAGTAAACAAAACTGTAACTTGAGTATATTTTTGTGTCGGAAAATTCTACCTCATTCATTACTATTCATCGCAGTCCAGTTGCTATTTTGAAAGGGTTTACGTAAACAGTACAAACACTATTGCTAACTAATGTAGAAAGCGAGATTCAATTTATATCGTAATGTATGGGTGTTGTTTACGTTTACCAGTGCTTACCCTCGCGTGTAATCCGAAAGCGAAATTTCAGTGTGCAATTTACATTAATTATAATTCATGTGCAGACATCATGTAAATGGTAATCATATTTTAACCGCTAACTTACACTAGTACATAAATTCATCAGTATTCAACGGTATTTTTACATTCGCAGGTACACCGCTGATGGACAATCAATGCAGAAGCCTAACATAAGTAAACTAACAAAGAAAACCGCCAAAGAAGAGACAACAAATGATAACAATGAAAATGACGCTTTGTTTGAGATGGAAGGACTCGATGAAGCTTCAGATTGGAACGACGGTAGAACGCCGAAGACATTCGCGGCCACCCAAATCGGAGCAGCAGGGAGCGAAGCTAGTCAAACAGTACAGAAAATAAGTGCTAATAATGACTTTCGGCCTATAGAAACTGCTCCTTCCAACCAAGAAGATATTATGAAGCAAAACGGTAACGGGAAAAAGAAGAAGAAAACTAGGAAAATGAGTTCCAAAAAGAAGCATCAGCGAAAATCGTCAACTAGTTCAATATCCAGCCAGTCGGATAGAGCGGGGTCGGAGCAGCGCGCGTCCCAGCCAGCGCCCATTCCTAATGCTACTGACATCAATTTCTTTAGCGACACTGAAGTTATTTCAGCAGCACTTAGGTGAGTTACGAAAACACCGTTGAGCTACCGATTTTGAAACGTTTGCATGGAACATTTTAACCGTATTGTAAGATGTGTTCGTTAGAATATTTTAGTGTATTAACGGCACCTCCCCAATTATATGCGGGAGTGTAGAGATGAATGCTGAGTGAGTTCCCTGGTTACAGCGAAGAGATGTCCAACCTGAAGTTGAATGGCGAGAACCGCATCCCGTTGGCGTTGTCGGACACAGCGTTTGAGGTGCACGCCGCCTCCAGACACGCGTAAACTATACGAATAATACTATTAATACCCGTTCACGCCATATTGAGCTTGCTGTGTTCACATCTTAGTATGTAACATTTAATCATTCCAAATAATCACTAATGTTTCAATCCCCAGAGAATAATAATCGCATTAGTTTTGGTACTCAAGCTTTCGTTCGTTCGTTCGTTTCAGCCGAAAGACGTCCACTGCTGGACAAAGGCCTCCCCCAAGGATTTCCACAAAGACCGGTCCTGCGCCGCTTGCATCCAGGTACTTCCCGCGACCTTCACCAGATCGTCGGTCCACCTAGTGGGAGGCCTGCCCACGCTACGTCTTCCAGCTCGTGGTCGCCACTCAAGAGCTTTTCTACTCAAGCTTTATTGTACAGTTATAGAATTATACACTGGGCGTCCGTACATGCATTTTATACTTTCAATTTAAAACGTAACACAACACTTATGTAAATGTACAGCAAGCTACCGCAACGTTTCATAATACGCACATTTGAGTCGTTTTCTATAACTATGGTTTGGAATATTAACCATCACACTATTATTATGTAACTACACCGGGATACAATGTTGAACTTTGAACAATTTCAAGTGCCATGTGTCTCCGCGCTATTTGTAATCTTATTGCATGATGCAAGAGTACACACTGCACAATAATTAGTCATTATTTGCAAATAGAAATGTGTCAACTTGGTACATAATCTTTAACATAATATCACTACTTAAGCGCATTAATCTTGCAGTAAATTACTAGTATCCGTTTATATTGCTCATAATATTTTTATTCGTCGCATTGTAGATATATGAAATTAATTACAGTTGCGTAGATAATGCTTTTATTTTGAAGCGTAGATTGATTAATGCTTCTGTGGACGTATATTGATATCTACCTACTACTACAGGTTTGGCTGCTGTCGCGTGTTATATGAAATCGTGGCAAATGTATAATAGTCGTCAAGAAAGAAATGAAGATATAAGTCAATTACCTTAAAATAGAAATTTGGCATGACTAATTTTTATTTTAAATGCTACGCTTGACAAAAAAAATGGTGCTAAATGTCGGCCAAATGTCGTAAAGAGCGTGCGCTCCTCGTGATTTTTGAAATGTAGAGACGACTCTATAAAACTCAACCGATGTTCTTGTAAATATGAATATGTATTAATTCTTGACGATTATTATAACGCCCCAAGGCATATTCGAATACCAATATTGACTTCAGAAATGATTGCAGGGGTTCTCGCAACGGCACTCCAGTCCAGTCCGATACCGAGGTTGAGCTGTCTCGGACTGCAGGGGGGGATAAGTCCTCGCAATCTTGGCGCTGGGGTGAATTGCCCGAGCCACCGGTGCGGGGTGCCGAGTCACCCCCGTCGCCTGAATCACCCGCTTCGCCCGCGTCTCCTGCATCGCCAGCGGAACCCGCATCACCCACCGAGCCGTTGAGCTCCGACGAAGAGCGGTCAGCGCGCCGTGGTGTTCTTTCTGGAATGTTCCGCTTCATGTCAGCGCGTGAAGCGACCGAGGTGGCCTCTGAAGGAGTCTATTTAGATGACCTGGACCGCGGGCAGGTCGACCCCGATCTCTATTTCCCCAAACACCACGCTGAGCGGTACCGATCAGGTGAGTTCTCGAATTTTTCTTTGTTTTTTTTTCTGTATTTAGTCATAGCTGTATGTTAATTTTCGATTGTGAGCGTAATTAACCGTTAAGTTGGTTCAAGAACTTGACTCGAAATATGTATGCAGTTTTCGCCCCAGATAGTATGTTTTTAACCTGGATTTTTGTCTCCAGGGCCGCCCAGCACGACGATACCGACGGCCGGCCCTACCGAGGAGGAGTACGAGTCTGGCAACGGGCCCTCGCTGCCGCAGTCGCCGGCTTCGCTCGAGCCACCTGCGCTTGACTCAGATGACGACGAGAAACTTCTGGCCAAGTAAGGGTTCTTTCAAATAATTAGACGTATTCAGCACCGCTCTGGCAGTCCGTGTAACGGGTTCGAATACCACTAGCGGCATACAAAGCACGAATTATGTTTCAAAAAAATTCCCCCACCGATTTAAAACCACTGACAGACAATATTATTTGCACATGCGCTTGTAATAACGGAGCGATGTAGTTAGGTAGAATGAGCTAAATGCGTCATATTGGGAGTCAATTTGTTCCTAAGTGACTAGTGTATTCGAGATTTGAATTACGTTATGGAGATTTCACACTTTCGGCGCAAAGACTCGTGGCAGGAGATGTAATAATAAAACAGTGCACATCACGTTTTCTCTCGCACTCACACTGGTTATGGGTGGCGTCACATCACACAGAGGCATAGCCTTGTTTTAATACGTAATAATTAATAAAATATTGGCGAGTGTGCATCTCTGTTTCAAAAATTACTTATGGCCCCGCCTGTCACGAGTCTGTGAGCACGTAGAATTTTGTCCAATAACCCCAAGCTACCCATCCTTATCGCTCGCGCGTAATTATATTGCTGTCGCGACTGTGCGACGGGCGCCCGCAGTGAGGGTGCGAGCGCGACAGCAACATAATTACGCGCGAGCGATAAGGATGGGTAGCTTGGGGTCATTGGACAAAATTCTACGTGCTCACAGACCGGGCTTTAGCACTTATAAGAAAGATTCTGATTGTACTATTGTTCGTACAGGGGCCAAGTGGGCGTGTACGTGCGCGAAGACGTCGTATCTCGCGCGCTACCGTTCGAGGAGTTCTGCGCGCGCGGCGCCACATTAGCGGGCGAAGGTCGGCTGCTGGTGCGGCTGGGCGACCGCTGGCTGCCGTGGCGCAGCGCCGGCCCGCTGCTGCTGTCGCTGCTGGCATACCGCCGTCCGCTGCCCAACGTATGTAGCAAGGAAAATCTTCCGTGTTTTGCGACGATTTTGCCATGCTCATTATTATTTGTAAGGCGAGGAACATCCGCAAAATATATCACAATTATGGCGACCATGACCATTATGTCAAGAGTGTAAGGACTGGCAGCGGTTTTGCTTACGAGTAGTTAGTTAAAAGAGGAAGAGATAAGGTGCTGTTGGCCACCGCCGCCCGCTGCCCAACGTAAGGATAAACTGCTGTGATTAGCAATGGTTTTGCTTAGCATATTACAGGAGGACGATACTCGTAGTTAACAGAGGAAGAGATAGGGTGCTGTTGGCCCGCTGCTGCTGTCGCTGCTGGCATACCGCCGTCTGCTGCCCAACGTATGTAGCAAAGAAAATCTTCCGTGCTTAGCAGCGGTTTTGCTTAGGAGTAGTTAGTTAAAAGAGGAAGAGATAAGGTGCTGTTGGCCTACCGCCGCCCGCTGCCCAACGTATGTAGCAAAGAAAATCTTCCGTACTTAGCATCGGTTTTGCTTAGCCTATTATAGGAGGAAGATACTCGTAGTTAAAAGAGCAAGAGATAGGGTGCTGCTGGCCTACCGCCGCCCGCTGCCCAACGTAAGGATAAACTGCTGTGCTTAGCAGCGGTTTTGCTTAGGAGTAGTTAGTTAAAAGAGGAAGAGATAATGTGCTGTTGGTCTACCGCCGCCCGCTGCCCAACGTATGTAGCAAGGAAAATCTNCAGGGCCGCCTAGCACGACAATACCGACGGCCGGCCCCACCGAAGAAGAGTACGAGTCTGGCAACGGGCCCTCGCTGCCGCAGTCGCCGGCTTCGCTCGAGCCGCCTGCGCTTGACTCAGATGACGACGAGAAACTTCTTGCCAAGTAAGAACAGCTCTGATAGTCTGTACCATCAATAGCGGGTTGTAATTCCAGTAGGCGCATTTTATAGCATGAATTGTTACGAAAAACGTCCACTACCAATTTGAACGTTAAAAAAGACAATTTGCACATGCGCTTGTAATAATGTGGTCGGGTTGATTGAGCTATATGCGTCATATTGGGAGCCAATTTGTCCCCAAGTGACTAGTGTATTCGAGATTTGAATTAAGGTTCAGCCAAACCAACGCGATTAGCCAGCGTGCAGCGATGGCGATCAGACTTAAAAGCATTGATTACAATTACAACCCGGTCGAGTTAACTGCGCACCTGACAGATGTGACGTCACATCGGACGTTCGCTACGAACGAGGTGAACGAAGAAAAATGAACTAAGAGTCGCATTCCAGCTAGATGCACAGGAGGACCGCGTTGTATGTTACGCAGATTTCACACTACGTAGTTGAATTTAAAAAATCCCAAAGAATTTATAAGATTCTCATTGTACTTTTGTTCTTTTCTCAGAGGCCAAGTGGGCGTGTACGTGCGCGAAGACGTAGTATCTCGCGCGTTACCATTCGAGGAGTTCTGCGCGCGCGGCGCCACATTGGCGGGTGAAGGTCGGCTGCTGGTGCGGCTGGGCGACCGCTGGCTGCCGTGGCGCAGCGCCGGCCCGCTGCTGCTGTCGCTGCTGGCCTACCGCCGCCCGCTGCCCAACGTATGTAGCAAGGAAAATCTTCCGTACTTAGCAGCGGTTTTGCTTAGGAGTAGTTAGTTAAAAGAGGAAGAGATACGGTGCTGTTGGCCTACCGCCGCCCGCTGCCCAACGTATGTAGCAAAGAAAATCTTCCGTACTTAGCAGCGGTTTTGCTTAGGAGTAGTTAGTTAAAAGAGGATGAGATAAGGTGCTGTTGGCCTACCGCCGCCCGCTGCCCAACGTATGTAGCAAGGAAAATCTTCCGTACTTAGCAGTGGTTTTGCTTAGCCTATTATAGAAGGAAGATACTCGTAGTTAAAAGAGCAAGAGATAGGGTGCTGCTGGCCTACCGCCGTCCGCTGCCCAACGTAAGGATAAACTGTTGTGCTTAGCAGCGGTTTTGCTTCATCTATTAGACCCGGTTTCCATCAAGACGGAGCGGAGAAGAGTAACGTAACGTAAACCAATCAGATTTAAAAATTAACAGAATAAAATCTGGTTATTCAACCGGGTCTTATGGGCAGAGTAAACCGAGCACGTAATAGGGTCTCTTTGATTGATATTATATTAACCTGTGCTGCCACACATCTCATTCTTAGAAAGTCATGAATACCTTTTCAGTCACTTTTTTCATCCGCCTTGCAACGGAGTATAGGAGAATAGNTCGCCCCCTTGTTCGTTTTTGGTATTAATGCATTAATATTGAGAATTTTTGATTTTCCCAAAAAAACTTTGCCGTGAAGAAATCATCAGGCGTTTTGCTTTATCGTAGCTGTCAAGTGTCAAATATGTGTTTGTCAATCCTTTACAGAGTAGTGTAGAGCGCAGAGCATGCAAATAGTATCTCTTTTGTTATGATGACTTCGATTGTTCCGCGCCGCTCGCATCCAGGTATTGTGGATGCTCGCTTCTCCGTTTCAAACTATACTACACCACTTACACTTGACAAGAGTGTTAAAAAGTTAGTTTGATACTTATTCAGTAAAATATGGAATTACATTTAAGAGTATTTTTATTTCTTATTACTTAAATATATTTTATCGAATCAATATAAAACTAGATATTTAACACTCTTGCGGGTAAGTGGTTTTTCAAAATAAACTGATTAGGTAGGATTAAATAAATAAATTGATAACATTTTTATTTAGAGTAGTAGGTACGCGGTATTTGCGTAACTGCTCATACAGTTTGGAAGAGTTTAGTAAAAAAAGTTATTTCCAAACTATACTCGATTAGTTTCACACCCTTGCGTTCTGGCCATGTATAGAATGGAAAGACGCTACGTTAACAACCTATTTGAATTGAACGTCTAGGAAAAATACTCTTTTACGAAACTTTTTTAACGCCTTTGTTCATCAGAAGAATCAATATTAGTTAGGATTTTTATTGTGTACAAGAATTTTCGCAGCAATACCAACAAAAAATCTAATCCTTTCTTTTTCCTAATTAAAGTATTATAAACTCACGTTTTGTTTAGCAAAATTAGTGAAATACGTGTTTTTACTCTGTATTGAGTCTCTTTTGTCTCTACTCTGTAAAGTAGTTCGTGTGCGATCGTGTTAGTTCGTTGCGCCACCGCTATCTCGGCTAGCAATGCAAATCGTAATTTTTCGTCGGCGCTGCACCCCCTTAACGAAGCACGTGACAGGGCCTTTTTAGAGAATAGTTAAACGTCAGACTTCGAACTTGATAGCTCTATCGCCTGATTTAGTGCGATGTATGTGAGGGGTGACATTGACATGTTATGACGTGACAGAACATAGAAATCTGAAGTCTCGTTGACGTTTGACGTCTCAAAAACCCCCTCCCGTGCCGCTCCCATGCCTCAGGCACTGACTGAGTTAAGCTGTAAACCTATAGTTGCAGATATTTAGAGATCCCCAAGACTCCCTAGACTACTTGGATTTCAGTTACAAATGTATATCACAATAAGGCTAATTTCTTTACAGCGCGTGCTGGAGGTTCTTTAGAAGAGCTTTTGACTAGTATTTCAATTATGCACTTTATGTATAGCTCGCAGAANATTTTGCAGCGGCTGACAGATTTCATAATTTTCTTTGACAGGTGACAATTAAACCATAGACAATTGCCATATGAAAAACACACTTTTCCAATATTTTTGTTTGCCATGAGATTCTGGTACACCTATAGTGAGTCAGTGTCTCAGTGTGTACACCTAGTAGTCCACAGTGGCTCAATTATCATTTTTTTGTTTTAGGTTCCTAATTTGACATAAGTAGTAAATAATGTAGAATCATGAGTGCTCAGTTACAGTTCAATAGTGTATCTTAAATGTGAGCAAATTTTAGGCCAATATTAAAGCGATATCTATTTTTATTAAGCTTCGAAAAAAAAGTGAGTCACTGTTGCCTCCCTGACCCTAAACGAAGTGGTAATATATCTACCTTTATTTGAATAAGGGTTAACCCACCATCTCCCTCTGGCCGGTTATTCCATTATTTATGCAATCCCCGACGAAAAAAGCGTGCCTATTTATTTATTTGCACCTGTTGCATGTGTCAACTGTACACCAGGCTATACATTTTTTTTTGCCAAAATCTACATAAGACTGCATCGGCCATCGACTGATGTGCCGGCGTATGTAATAATTTTGCCAAAAAATCATTGTTTTACCAGCGAGATTCCAGAATTTTCGTTACTGGACGCAAAGTTTTTGTAGGCTTGCTATTAGGAAAAAATCTGCATCACAAGCATAGAGAAAAGTAATACATAATCACAAGTATCACAACTCTGATCACAACGCTCGAGAGCGCTATTGATTTTTATCAATTTTTCATATGGCAACACTAGATCTCAGTGGTTCCGTCTTTAAGGTTCGCGCTGACTGCGTCGTGTATCGTGTTACTACTATGGAACTGTGGCAACTGGGTCTGGTGGTGAAAGGTGACAATCTTAGCCCTGAAAATGATAAAACACTACAAATAGCCATGATATCCACACTAGTTTTAGAGAAAGTAGATTCTTTTCACACAAAGGGGCGACCTTAAAAAGGGATATTATAACAAAATCATGACATTCATTTTCATGAATTTCAATTAAGTTATATCAGAATTGTATTTGGTTGCAAAATCACAAAAAGATTGTTTGCCAAATGGTTTAGAATTAAAATTTTAACCAAGTCTACATTAGGTATACGATACGGCTAGCACGAAATACTTACTTTCCAGTTGAAATCATTTGCGTACTTAAGTATTCGAATCGCTATCAAAAGATTTAGCCTAGGCGCAGACCATCGATTTTTAGAAAGAAAGAAAGATATAATACATTTATTACAATGGACATCACACAAATACAGGCAATTACATAAACATGACAGTGGCATATAATAATGGAAAAAGAAAAAAATAAATAAAAACGAGTAAACTGAGCAGTGCCACCCATTCACCAACAAGATGCCCACTGCAACGGGACCCCACTCAGCATATGCCGTGGCCTACGGTGACGAAGGCCACGGCGCTGGTTTTCAGTGTGCCCCATTTTTAGTTGGCCTGGCCTATAGTTGGGCCCGATTTTAATTTCTATGAAGAATCGGCCAAATCAAATCGGTGTACCTAATGTGCGCACTTCCATACATGCCCGACTAAGTAAACTATCGGCCGACGAAAAATCCTTGGTCTGCGCATAGGCTTAGTGCGAAAACTACAACAGCGCCATTGTGAACATGTCGTAAAGTGAACTTACATTAGTATGAGAAATGGTTGCACGAAACTTATTTTGAAAATCAAAATTGTCACGTACTTAATCGTTTAATTCGAAGGTTGAGTATCGAATTTTGTCGAATACGCAAACGATTCCACGACGAAAGTTGTTCATGCTAGAGGTACTGGACTGCGACTTGGTAGGTAGGTACCACAAACCTAGGTATAGCGGTATCCGGTATAGCTAGGCTGGTAAGGCATCATAATTCTCTAGTTCTCTTAATTAAGACCAATACACGAAAAGGGAAACGCCTTAACCCTTCACTAGGTTAGGTTTCTCTATCTAAATAATTGAAGCTTATTTGCACATTGCAACAGGGTACAAAAGGCGAACTGACGACTAAGCTACTGAGGTAGATTATTTTTTCTATTTTATGGATTGTTTATTGTTTTTCTTAACACATCTTAGAGGAGTTAGTGAAATGCTACATTGAACATCACACAACACAAGAAAATAAAAAATTCACAATTTAGGCGGTCTTAGGGATGCGAGGCAATTGTTACATTTGTTACCCACTCCTTCACTGAAAAGCTTTAACACAATCTATAGAGATGAAAAAGTTGTTTAATATACTTATTTTATCTAATATTAATAATATAATCGTAATTCGATTCCCGCACAGTACAAACATTTGTGTGCATGAACATATTTGTTTGTATTGGACTGGGTGTTTTCTATGTATAATAAGTATGTATTTACAAAAAAAAAAGTATTTAAGTATGTTTATATCCGTTGTCTAGTACCCATAGTACAAGCTTTGCTTAGTTTGGGACTAGAAGCGCAGTGTAAAATGTCCAAAAATATTTATTTATTAATTATTTATTTATTTAATTATAAATCACAATAGAAAATCTAATTATTTGGCAGGCATACTGTTTTTATACTCGTACCAAATACATAAAAATATCGTCTACAAAGAACAATGTTTTTCAGTTGGTGGCTTTATACTTATACCTACTATGAAAATTGTATTTATCACATTGTAAAAACATCCTTTAAATCCAACTAGGTAGGTGGTAGAGNAAAGACGCTACGTTAACAACCTATTTGAATTGAACGTCTAGGAAAAATACTCTTTTACGAAACTTTTTTAACGCCTTTGTTCATCAGAAGAATCAATATTAGTTAGGATTTTTATTGTGTACAATAATTTTCGCAGCAATACCAACAAAAAATCTAATCCTTTCTTTTTCCTAATTAAAGTATTATAAACTCACGTTTTGTTTAGCAAAATTAGTGAAATACGTGTTTTTACTCTGTATTGAGTCTCTTTTGTCTCTACTCTGTAAAGTAGTTCGTGTGCGATCGTGTTAGTTCGTTGCGCCACCGCTATCTCGGCTAGCAATGCAAATCGTAATTTTTCGTCGGCGCTGCACCCCCTTAACGAAGCACGTGACAGGGCCTTTTTAGAGAATAGTTAAACGTCAGACTTCGAACTTGATAGCTCTATCGCCTGATTTAGTGCGATGTATGTGAGGGGTGACATTGACATGTTATGACGTGACAGAACATAGAAATCTGAAGTCTCGTTGACGTTTGACGTCTCAAAAACCCCCTCCCGTGCCGCTCCCATGCCTCAGGCACGGACTGAGTTAAGCGGTAAACCTATAGTTGCAGATATTTAGAGATCCCCAAGACTCCCTAGACTACTGGGATTTCAGTTACAAATGTATATCACAATAAGGCTAATTTCTTTACAGCGCGTGCTGGAGGTTCTTTAGAAGAGCTTTTGACTAGTATTTCAGTTATGCACTTTATATATAGCTCGCAGAATTGCTAAAATCAAGTGGCAGTGGGCGGGGCACATAGCTCGTAGAGACGATGGCCGTTGGGGCAGGAAAGTTCTCGAGTGGCGACCACGGGCTGGAAGACGTAGCGTGGGCAGGCCTCCTACTAGGTGGACCGACGATCTGGTAAAGGTCGCGGGAAGAGCCTGGATGCGGGCAGCGCAGGACCGTTCATTGTGGAAAACCTTGGGGGAGGCCTTTGTCCAGCAGTGGACGTCATTTGGCTGAAACGAACGAACGAAAATTATGTATATCACAATAAGGCTCATTTCCTTGCAGCGCGTACTGGAGTCCCTTGAAAAGGGGTCTGAGAAGGAGGGCGGGGAGGCGGCGCGCGCGGCGGACGCGGCCAAGCCGCGCGGCTACTCGTGGTGGAGCTGGCGCCGGTCTACTTCCGAGGCTAAGCAGTGAGTGCATATCATTTCTATTGGCGGATTTACACTATGCGGAAATTAGCCGAGTCTAGTCAAAAAAACAGAGGAGTGGGGATGAAATACATTCATTTTTTGTGTCACCCCACTGTTTTTTTGACTTGACTAATTTCCGCGCAGTGTAAAAGCAGCATATTAGGTATTGGCTTTGCAGTGTCTTGCCGAATATGTATGAGTCGCGAGCTGCTCAGATGTCTGCACTCCACGCAGCTTTGTGAAGATACCATTAGGTACTCCGATGCAAACAAAAGTCGAAGAGATATACGATATCGAACCTAAAAAGTTTAAAACTTTCCGCTGATCTAATTTTATTGAATCTTCTGAAATTAGGAAATATTGTGATTTGTGATACACAATCCACTTAAATTCACTTAGTCTTAATCCACATCTATAATGTGAAAAAAAAAAACATTAACCATGGGGTTTGCGAAAAAATAGACACATTTCAAATCGCCCTGACGATTTATCTTGGGTTATTGCTTCAATCACATTGACCAAATTAAAGTCAAATATTGAATTATATTAGCTTCCATTTTATAATATTTCTGATTGTGTATTAGACTGAATCTCTTTTGTGATCTATAGGGTCAAGGAGGCAACAGTGACTCGGTCGGCTACAGTGGCTCAGTCATGTTTCGACCTGAAGGCATAGGAATATATATTTGTCTCTNAGCCTGGATGCGGGCAGCGCAGGACCGTTCATTGTGGAAAACTTTGGGGGGAGGCCTTTGTCCAGCAGTGGACGTCATTTGGCTGAAACGAACGAACGAAAATTATGTATATCACAATAAGGCTCATTTTCTTGCAGCGCGTGCTGGAGTCCCTTGAGAAGGGGTCTGAGAAGGAGGGCGGGGAGGCGGCGCGCGCGGCGGACGCGGCCAAGCCGCGCGGCTACTCGTGGTGGAGCTGGCGCCGGTCCACTTCCGAGGCTAAGCAGTGAGTGGCTTTTATACCCTTACCTTACCTATAGAGAAGAGAAGTGGAAACAATGAAATATGATTCCGCCTTAGTGGAAACTGAGCCTAAGTCGCTATCAAGCCTGAAAAAATTATGAACTTTCTGCTGGCATATCGCGGGCGTCATGTGTCGTATAAGCCCCCTAGTAATTAGTATTGTTTAATACGACACTGGCTTAACGTCCGCGATATTTTTACTGCTTGAATCTGTGTTGAAGTTAAAAAAATCTGTTGGCTTCATTTTACTAGAAAACACTAAACTTTGTAACTTTTAATGTTACTTGGCAACACTAATCTATGGTAAAAAATTAAAACGTCAACTATCATCTGTAATTTTGTCTAAAATGGCGTCCGAAGATAAAACTGTGACTGTGCGTCCGAGCAAAGGTAAATAAATCTTTATTCATCTATAGAAAAAAAATGTAAATATGTGTTATTTTGTAGTAAATAATATATTAGTTGTATAAACTAAGGATTTGAAGTTCTATTTTGTTGAAGAAATAAATACTGTGGTTCTACCCTCAATTTCATTTTTTATGACCTTTGCAAAGTACAATAGCACGTAATTAATACTAAAATTCTAGAGTTCTGATGTTCTATGTAAAGTACATATACGTAAATTTAAGTTTTTTACAGCGGTTAAAAAAGATGTTATTGCAGATATCTGGAATGACTCCGTATCGGACTTTTCTGGTGATGATTCCGATGAAAATCCAGAGTTTATCCCACCAAAATTCCAACAAAGAACAAATGACCATTGTGTCAGTTAATCTAGTAGCTCGGATGAGGGAGATATAGTTTTGATCACTCCTGTGGATTCTCCAACACCTTATGCATCATCAGATTCCTCATATCTACCACCAATAAGAGTTCGACTTAGTATTGCATCGCGGGAGCGGGGATGTTCGCGTGGATTTAGTCGTGGCCGTTACCGAGGTGTTGGTTCGCCTTCGATATCTACGTTAGATAGCTATGCAAAACAATGCTAACACTCAAAATAGATGGCCAAATGACACACTAAAAACAGAAATTTAAAAAAAATATGCAGCCTGCCTGTTTTCCAGAATTTAGTGTAAAACAATCGCGCTGCAGAAGTATTTGTTGTAACAAAAAAACTACAGTTCTCTGCAAAAAATGGGGGATCTACCTGTGTTTCACTCCTGATCGCCATTTTTTCACCAATTTTCATGTAGAATTTATAAATATGAGTCTTAAAAACTAACTATTATGAAGAACTGAGTGATCTCTAATGTTTCTAATGTTTAATTATAGTGATTTTGTAAGAGAAAGTTAAATTTTGAGATTTATATTGATAAAAAATTGAATTTCGTTAATTTTGATAAAGAACATTAAAAATAAATATTATACATATAAAATTCTGTTTTAAATAACCTATTATTTGTAGTATATTCTGGATTAACCCGCAAAAAATTGCTATGTCCTTTACAAATGACATATTGATTAAATACCGTTGTCCTTTATAAGGGACATAGTGAAAAACAAGATTTTCCAATTCGATAATTTATTTTGTATTTTTTTTATACTAACTTACTATAATGTAGTGCACTACAAAAGTTTCTTAACGAAACTCCAAAAAAAGTATGTCTGGTACTCAGGAGGTTAACTCACCGACATTTAGGCTGGGTCATCTAACTAACCGTAACTGTAAAGTCAGTCAGTCGCCTTAACATTTATCTTGGGAACGGTATTGTTTCAACTTCACAATGAAATAAATACATATTCATATCGAATTCATAATCTTCCATTGTTTAATATGTGAATAAAACCTCCTTTGTGCTCTTCCCAAACGATGTGTCTTAAAAACTTCGCAGTTGAATATAAATTCTATCTATCTCTTTCCAGCACTGATCCAATTCTCGCCAAAGATGATGCTGAAAAGAAAACAGAACTACCACAAGTTGAAATAGTCACAGAGACGATGAAAGGCAGCACAGAGCCTCAGTCTGCTGAGGAGGTCTTGGAAGACAAGACTGTCCTGGGCGATGAGATGGAACCACAGGCATTGTTAGAGAACCCAGTTGAGATTGAAATGGAGAAGGCAGAACCTGAAAATACTCTACCTCATCAAGAGAAAGGTATGCTTAATTCTATATACATTTTTGTTTTTAATAAATTACTTTAATGATGATGGTTGTAATATATTTGTTTTTCTTTTAGAAGACCGCCATGATCAGAGCTCCTCTGATTCAGACCAAGAAGGCAAACCTCAAAAGCCAGCACGCAGATATTCATCGTTCCGCAAAACCTTGCGGTTGTCGTCGGAACAAATTGTGAGTAATTATTTGTATTATGTATTATAGCCTGACCAGGAACATAAAAACCCTGGCATAGAGGCGCTTCAATTGCATTTGATAGTGCAACACTGAGTACAGTCGTACATGTGTTAAATTAATAGGCTAAATTTATGTATCAGGATTCAGGATTACGGGCTAATTTGATATTNTTGACATAAGTAGTAAATAATGTAGAATCATGAGTGCTCAGTTACAGTTCAATAGTGTATCTAAAATGTGAGCAAATTTTAGGCCAATTATTAAGGCGATATCTATTTTTATTAAGCTTCGAAAAAAAAGTGAGTCACTGTTGCCTCCCTGACCCTACACATTGCTTCTTATAACATAAACTTTTCGCAGTTGAATATAAAGTCTATCTATCTCTTTCCAGCACTGATCCAATTCTCGCCAAAGATGATGCTGAAAAGAAAACAGAACTACCACAGGTTGAAATAGTCACAGAGACGATGAAAGGCAGCACAGAGCCTCAGTCAGCTGAGGAGGTCTTAGAAGACAAGACTGTTCCGGGCGATGAGATGGAACCACAGGCATTGTTAGAGAACCCAGTTGAGATTGAAATGGAGAAGGCAGAACCTGAAAATACTCTACCTCAAGAGAAAGGTAGGCATAATTCTAACTACACCTTTTCTTTTAGTCTATTACTGTCTAGTCTAAAGTTCGGTCGCCGAGCAGATATAATTTCGTACAATGACCCCAAGCTACTCATCATTATCGCTCGCACGTAATTGAACAAATTTTATCTGCTCGGCAACCAAACTATATCTACAACTAGATCTTTTCTTTTAATCAATGTTTATTTTTCTTTTAGAAGACCGCCATGATCAGAGCTCCTCTGATTCAGACCAAGAAGGCAAACCTCAAAAGCCAGCACGCAGATATTCATCCTTCCGCAAAACCCTGCGGTTGTCATCGGAACAAATTGTGAGCAATTTTTCTTATCATCCGAATTAAATCTAATTATTTAGTCATTACAATCGATAGATAGATTATATTTTTGTTGACAACTACATAAGATATCATTAATTATTACAAGATTAGCTTGAAGTTCCGTCGTCTGTATCTAAAATTCTTCAAACAATATTTTAAGTAATAAGATTGCCAGTTCCCAGTACATATTTTTTTATGCTATTGTAGACTCAAGTTTAATAACAACATTTGTATTTTCTAGAAAAACCTGAATCTCCGCGAAGGCATGAACGAGATGGTGTTCAGTGTGACAACAGCGTATCAGGGCACAACCCGGTGCAAGTGCAACGTCTTCCGCTGGCGGTACGACGACAAGATTGTCATATCCGACATCGACGGAACCATTACCAAGTAAGCACGTCGAAACTAATATGTTAGCTGTCATAGTTATAGTTCTTCAGTCAATTAAGTCCGGTCGCCGAGCAGTCGCACAGTCGCGACAGCAATACAGTGTGAGTCACATTAAAGTGTACATATGAAAAAAGATGAAACTAGACCTATTTTTATCGACAAAAGAGGTAAAAAAATTTTTGAGATTTTTTTGAGATTTTTTTTCTTTCAATTACTTATTGTAAAGAAAACGTAATAACTTTTAAACTAAGCGATATATCCTGATAAAATAAAAACAGTAATAATGCTAAATAACAGGCGATACTAAAAAATACATAAAATACACAAAAAAATATAGTTATAATTACGCGCGGGCGATAAGGATGGGTAGCTTGGGATCATTGGACGAAATTCTATCTGCTCTGCGACCGGACTTTAGTTCATGTACTATCGGCAACAGTGTTAACTGCCTATTGCCAGTCATGTCATCTCGTTCTATCGCAAAGAATCACTATTTCATTAGAGCGAGAGCAAAAACGGAAATGGATAGTTAACAGTGTGGCCGTGTGTACATTTAAATTTTTGTTGCAAATTCGCACTTATTACAACTACGTAAGACTTATCTTTGTTTTTGTTTCTAGATCGGACGTGCTTGGCCACATATTCCCGCTGGTCGGCAAAGATTGGGCCCAGTCCGGCGTAGCTCAATTGTTTACCAAGATCAAGAACAACGGATACCAACTGCTGTACTTGTCAGCAAGAGCGATCGGGCAAGCTAGGGTAAGTAAACAGGGTGACTTCATAGATTTGAAACAATCATTCCAGATTTTTTAGTAATCTATCATTTGTAATAAATAAAAATATAAGTGAAATGTTTATTAACTTTAAAAACCTCGTTCATTCTCTTGGTTACTAGCAAAATAAAGCAATGAGTCTCGATAAGCAAGTTATGTCAGCTTTTCAATCAACAAAACGCTTTATTATAAAAATAAATTTTATATCGCTTACATGAGTCAGATGATATACCGTGCGTACAATTATTCATCTAAGATTTACTTTTGCGACAAAACGTTGACTATGTACTTTTCTTATAATCCAATCAATCTCTATGCCAAAATTAAAATAGTTACCAAGCCACATAGAAATAAAGTTACAATTCAACTGTTTTATCTCGCAGGTAACTCGCGAGTACCTACGCTCAATCCGCCAAGGCGAGGTGTGCTTACCAGACGGACCACTTCTCCTGAACCCTACGTCACTACTACGCGCCTTCCACCGAGAGGTCATCGAGAAGAAGCCGGAGGAATTCAAGATCCAGTGCCTGGCTGACATCAAGGCGCTCTTCCCACACGGGTCCAACCCCTTCTACGCTGGATACGGAAACAGGGTTAATGTGAGTATTTGTTCTACGGCTATATTAGATTGATGGTATTTAGTACTCCGCGATACATACCTCCTAACCTGACTACGAAAAAAGTATAGCCTATGTTACTCTGGGTATAATACCAGGCCCGTTCATCTCCGCGAGTTTACATCGAAAACAAAACACGCACGATGGCCCACCTACAGGATACTATTCGACAAGGCCTCACATACGAGCGAACATTGACTCACGCACGCGTATTCTTGTGTATGATGGTAGAAAATAAAGAAAATGGTGTACTAAATACTGTGCAGTATNTACGAAAATACAAAGTAATACAAACAGATGACTAACAGCTTTGATATCGCTTTGCCATAAAAAAATGGAAAAACCATGTAGGCAGAACTTGACCGCTGTCAAACAGAGATTTATAAAGTGTCACAGATTAATGGAGGAATTCACCTTTTACAGGACGTATGCGCATACCAAGCTGTCGGCATTCCGATCGTGAGAATATTCACAATCAACTACAAGGGAGAACTAAAACATGAATTGACGCAGACATTCCAATCGACGTGAGTATACAATAATGTAATATCACGTAAACCGTGCCACGCTCGTCACGTTACTAACGCCTATATGTTTCTTCGATGTATATCTAAAACATTTATATTATATATTTTTATTTCAGTTACCACGTGCAAAGTGACATGGTCGATGATTTCTTCCCGCCACTGAAACGTGATAAAGATAATATCGTTATAAGCTAGCTCAAAAATTTTGATATGAGGCTTTGTTAAATATTTTTAATGAGAAAATGCGGGCATACGACATTGCCGGTAAGCCGTATGGCATGATTTGTAAGGCTTGGCCTCGACCGTACCGCGCACTCATCAACATCAAAATTAATAAATACTTGCTATCTAATAACATTGGCTCTAAAACTTACAATAACATCTTCAATCATCGCCATGTCATCTGTCTCGTTCTATGTACTTGTTTCAAGTTTGTGTTGGGTTTATGTTAAGTTTTGTATTATTTTCTGTTGTTTCTGTCTTTCTTCGTTTGAATATTTAACTTCGGGACTAATCTATTGGTTACTAGGCAATCTCCATGTATTTTTCACTTGATCATAGAATACTAGAGACAGGAAGAATATAATACACCTGTTGAAATAAAGAGAAACTAATATTTATATTATAGCGCATAACAAATACTAACATTTCCAGATCTTCATTGTCTTCCATCCAATTAATACAAAATTCCTATAATTATTTAACATGACTTACTAATTCCTATAAATTTCTATATCAGGCTGGTATAGAATAGATGGGGTATGGAAAATGAGTATAACTGACATCTACAAAATTTTAAGAGACAAAAAGTTTTTGTCCCTTTTTAACGATGTTGTAGGATTGTTTTCCATTATGTTGGTTAGTGTCTTTCTATCCCAAGGAAGGTCTTTCAAATATTATAATAGCGGAGTAAACTCCCAAGTCCATCTCGAAGCATTTGTTATTGAAATATTTCACAATAATCTTAACATGCGACATGATGCTTTATTATTGTCTGGTCTACTTGTATTTCGACGTAATAAGCCCCATGTGAAGTAATGATTGACTAAAGATGGGCCTGTAGCCTACTATGTATTTTCCAATGTCCTCTTCCCCTATGTTTTGGCTTAAATTAATTGCTATATTAATAACAGAAACCACTAGAGACGTGGCTATCCTTGAAATGCGCTACTTGAACCTAGAACATGGTTTTTGGGTCTTAAAACATTATGAATGGCAAAACTGTAAATTGAAAATTTTAATTTGTTAAAGATTATAATAATTTAAATAGTATTCAACTTTATACCCTACACAGTTCTAATTAAGTTCGTTTTCACAGGTACTCCCACATGTCGGTGCTAGTTGACCAAGTGTTCCCGCCGGCGCTGTGCGAGCCTAGCGACGAGTTCTCTCAGACGGTCTACTGGCGGGAGCCGCTACCCACGATCGACTTGCCACCAGTTGTTGTGCCTCCAACGAAAAACCATTAATCACCTATGTGTATGACACTTCAACATTAAACCCTAAAAACGGTATTTAAGTTAAAAATGACAACCTAAAAGACAAAACTTAGGACAAATTTTGGCTACAATTTGAGAAGTTCATATTTGAAATTGCCAGTAATAAACTGGCCGTGCTGTCGTTTCAAGTGTTTATTAAGCGTGTAAGTCTGTAGTTGTGATGTGCATGCTTTCGATGGAATGTATGATTATCAAATTATTTGTAGTCGATGCAAGCAGTAGCTACAATTTTTAGATTTTCAATTTGTATCTCAATAATTATGTAACTTTAAGAATCGTTGCACCTGAGCATAACCGTTGCATCTACATTACACTTTGCACAAACATACTTATCGTCGTTCTGTTTCTCGTCCTGATTTGTGCGCCTAATTGATTTAGATTATCTAGCTAGCTATCCTAGGTACAAAGTAAATAGTTAATTTATTTTTTAATGGGACAGTCATTATGTAAATGGCGTATGAAAGTATGGTGTGATATAGGACCTCGATTTACAGTGCTGTTAAGCAATATTTAGGAATTTACAGTATTTAATTTCAGGTAAATAAAAATAATTTCGGGCTACAGTTACGTATGACATTTTATTGAATATCGCCACTTTAAATGCTATTATGTTCATACTTCCATGAACTGTAGCTTAGTGCTTAGGATTTATGTGGATTGACATCTCAATAAATACCTAATGTAACGTCCTTTTTCATTAGTGAACTTTATAGAAGGTGGTTGTTGGTCTAACATTAATTTGTGATACTTGCCCATTTATTTATGCTGTCAACACAATAAACTTTGTTACGCGATCACTTGTGCCTGGGGATCATGTAATCTTCTTGGTTTGAAATTACGGCATGGCTGTGTCATTACACAGCCATGCCGTAATGCCATATAAAGTATCACTAATAAAAATGGACAATAAAACATCTGCTAAAGCTAATTTAAAAATTGACATAAACACATAGATACTTACATTAGGGTTTCTGTGAAAGTGAGCAGTCGTAGTTTTTTGGTTCTGCCGTTGCGTAGCTGTGATGTCGTCGACTGATTAAACAATGCTTTATTTTTATACTGTGATTACTTATTATGTATGGTACGTCTGCTAGCTAAGTAATATTTATGTTAAAAGTATACATTCACACACATTCATGTTACTGAGGCGTAGCTTCAATTTGATAGCTTTGTCATTGTAAATTTTATAATATGAATTTTTAGTGATAATTAGTAAAATGTTTATTTCTTTAAGTTATTATAATTGTTTAAAAACAATGTGGATTAGTTCTGCTGTCTAAATGCAATTTGATATTTTTTATAAAATAATTTATGATGTATCGTTTCTGTGATTGTTTTAATAAACATTTTGAGGACGAAATGTATTTTATTAATCTATTACTGGATTGCCCGATTTTCTTACAAACCTATTTAAGATTGCAGTCATTATGTAAAATAATGTCAAGAAAGGTGATCTTGCTTGAGGCAAGTCGAGATAACCGGGCCCTATCCATGGGTCACTCGTTCATTACCTATACATAAAAATAAAGCTATTGCCTAGCAAATACAGGCCTGATACATGCCTATATTTTGCTATAAAATTCTAGATATTTTCGCATCTATCTTAGCGAAATTATGTTGTGTACGTATGTCGGCCGATCGTTGACTATGTGGCTAATCTAAAAATCGGTCCACGATAAGGTAGACAAAAGTCATAGTAACTCCTGGTAGCTGTTGTACCAAATTATAATAAATCAATAATAAATTGATTACCGCGTGCGTCATCCCATCCCATTACCACCAGTCAGGGATGTGCTAGAAGCGAATAGTGGGAAGGTATAATCTGTGACTCCGGCGCATAATTCGATTAAAACTCAGGATAGCATTCATCATCATTATCATCATTTCAGCCATAGGACGTCCACTGCTGAACATAGGCCTCCCCCAATGCTTTCCATGTTGATCGATTGGCAGCGGCCTGCGTCCAGCGCTTCCCTGCTACCTTGACGATGTCGTCGGTCCACCTTGTAGGTGGACGTCCCACGCTGCGTTTTCCGGTACGCGGCCTCCATTCCAGAACCTTTCTGCCCCATCGGCCGTCAGTTCTGCGTACTATGTGCCCTGCCCATTGCCATTGCCAGGATAGCATTTAACCTTCCTATACCCGCGCGTTGGTCTCTCAGACCGACGAACTAATAATTCGGAGTTTTTTCAAAAAGTATTAACTCTATGACTTTGCGGTTCTTAGTAGCTTCATGATTTGTGGCCAGCCATTGTTTAGTGTTGGGCGATCGCTGCTGCCAAGTGTACGTGTGTCACTTTTTGCTGTTATTCGGTCTGTGAGACCGACGCGGGTATACGTGTAACTACTTCAGGTATGTTACTATTGTTTTATTTTACAATATTACTCAATAAAATGTATTGTCATATTTTCGTGACGATTCATATCAATTAAGTATTACTGTATTATATTATTATTAATTTGTTTTTAACCATTTTTGTCGTCATAATGAACGAAGAAAGGATAAGGGCGCTGTTAGAATGTGAAGATTCGGACTCCAACTATGATGACCAGAGTGACAGTGATGAGGTGGTGGATGATTTAGAAGTGCAGGAGAACAACACCGATTCTGAGCAGAAGGGTGATTTGTCACATGCAAAAAGTATTTTTGTCATTATACGAGCATGCAGTTATGGTATGTTCCGGTTATTATTCCACTGAAACCACTAGTGATAAATACTGTTATGTTCTTTTATATTACTAAGGATACTTCCATTTATTATATTTCGTAGTAATTTTTTAGGCTTCAAAAGAAAAAAAGTTTATTTTTGTTATTAAATTTAGACTGATGTAAAATTTTGTTCAAATTTTAAGTCTGATTTAAAGGCTGATTAAACCAAAATATCTATAAATATATAATTTGTTTTAATTTTTTTATGCAATTAATACCTTAACGTATAATTTAAAGCAAATTATAGTACAATACAGTACACAATTATACTATAAAACACGAGCTCAACTTTCGGTCTGAGAGACCGTGCGCGGGTATATGTGTAATGCTTTTTGGCGCGGGTATACGAAGGTTAACATACCTATTCTCTCTGCTTTTAAGAGATGGTAATGGCCATCTAGCCTTGCTGCTAGATGGCCTAGTGGTTTTAACTTGTACCGGCCTCATATTCGTCGCACAGCTACGCGGCTTTTGTTGTTACGAAAATGACCATGTTTGTCTTGTCTGGTATCTCAACGACAAGTCGACGAGACTTAACGACAAGTCTCTGGTATTAACAAGAAGTGTTTCCGGCTAAATGCCGCATTATACTTATGTAGGGTAAACTAAAGTAAAAAAACTGGACAAAGAAGAAATTGAAACAAATTGTTTAATACATAATATTATTTTATTAAGTTTCATCTTCTTCCATTTCCTCATCTTCATCTTTGTCATCCTCATCTTCTTCATCATCACTAGGTACTTCAAGGTTCTTTTGATAACCCTTGCCTTTAGTCCAGTGACATTTTATTACCAGCTTAAATTGCGCCATTTGAATACCCAAAAGTTTCAATATACTTGCTTGCTCAGGAGTCAAAGTGGCACCTTTTTTGCACACCTGAAAGAAAATGTTACATATTAGTAGGATAAACATTTAAGTTAGGTTTGCTGGGAAAGTTGGTTTAGTAGGTATTGATGAGCTGAAGATTTTTTGACTGTTATCAATTTGCAAAAAACCTGTGGGGAAGTGGTAGTGCTTGTATTACAAGTTCTATGTAACTAATTAAAATATTATATTAGTTTATTTTACATTACCTGGTACTCTTTAATAAGGTTTATAACTCCTCTTTCTAGCGAAGTAGGTAAACCCAGCCGTCTAAGATGGGGTTCAATAGTGTGGGAAAAGTCCTCAAGAGGTCCTGCTGGTAAGATAACATCTTTTGTAGCTACGAAGCCAGACCGAGCATATTCTGTAGCATGGTATTCCTTGAACCACTGTATAACATCCATGACATCTCTGTTTGTCATCAACAAACCACATTGGCCTTTTAACCGTTTAGAAAGCTGAAAAAGACACAATATTAATTAAGTATTAACTTTAATAAAGGCAGTGTTTGAAGCTAACAGTTGTTGTTTAATAATTTAATTTGAGTAGCTTTGGAAAAATCCGAGTTATAAAAAGTTAATGCCATTAGAAAGTTGTAAAAAAGTATAGTAAGAACTCACCAAGTTAAGTTGATCCTCAACCTCATCACTTTTAGTTCTGCCAAGGGCTACAGCCATTACTTTATTTTTTCCAAAGAAAAACCTCGAATCCTTCCATTCGTTTCGTAAATCTTTCAACTTGGTATTCCTCATATTATCAACAGTAAATAAGAAGATATGTTCATACTTGGATAAGGAGTTTCTTATTTCTTCAATAGTTTTTTGCTTTAGTAAGAGTCCTTTCTTGTTCGTTTTTGTAAGTGAGACTGAAAAAGAAACATTAGTATTACGTAGTGTAGTGGTAATATACCTACTGTATATTTAGTAGGTTATTAAATAAGAAATAGTAAACTGTATGTAAATAAATTAATAAATTTGTGTTAGCAAATTAACATAGAAGTAAAGTTTTAAAAATTGTTTAGTAAATTACTTTAAATTAATTAGGAATATCGAGAAATTAAAAAAAAGTATAGGTTATGTTAAGACAGACCTTTTTTATCCCTTTTTGATTTAGGCATGGTGACAAATTTATGGATACAAAATCACACAGTTAGCTTGGCCTTTAAATATAGATTTACTCCAATTAGTTCTTCAAATTCAGCGTTTTTAAAAACCCACAAAACACCACATGGTAAGGTGTGCTTTGTTGATAGATGGACACTGACAGGCGACAGCTGACAGATTGAGGGCGAATGAAATGAACGAATGAATGATGATTTTGACAGCGGTGTAGGCACAGATATGGATTAGAGTAGATACAGCAAGTTGATCGTCAAAGCGTGCCATTCCGATATGTCCAAATGGACATACATGGTCGAGTGATGTTCATGTAATCCGATTACAACAATCGGTTACGATGATTTTACGAGAACAGTAGTACGAACACGGTAGAATGAAGATATTATTTACGGATTGAGAATTGTAATTAACAGCACAAGTAGCGAATAATAAATTAGAATAAAGTAGCAGTAGAAGAAGTATAAAGTAGCATTGTTTTTAATACATATCCTGCAATGTACTCTTAAGAGTTAAAACCATGGTCCCTGTATGTGGTGCACTCATACCGATCCCAAGGAACCGTACTTACTCATAACAATAAGATCCATGTATTCATGCACTTGACAAATTTATGTCTTGAAACGCTGGTAGGGTAAAAAAAATNAAACTTTGCGAAAAGACGCTTTTGGTGTATAATATTATGTGTGTTCATAAATAAAGTAAAATTATTAAATTGAAAAGTTTTTGTTTATTTGCATTTCCATGTGCAATGTAGAATTTTTCCAAATCCATTGTTTTGAAAATAATACAATACGTACACCATAAAGATAAATACTTTCAAAATAATGGATTTGAAAAAATTCTACATTGTACATCAAAAAAACAATAATTCTTTGAAGGTTATGAGGGCCTATGTGTGCGTGAACTGTGTGTATGTATGCGTGGACTTTATGTATGTATGTGTGCGTGTACTATGTGTGTATGTGAGCGTTACGTACGTAGGTTAAGTACAGCGAATTTAACACCAGGCTGTCAATTAGTAGGCTCAAAAATTTGACAGAGAGGGTTCTCTATTTTTCTCTATGGGCGACAGCTGACAGATTGAGGGCGAATGAAATGAACGAATGAATGATGATTTTGACAGCGGTGTAGGATTAAGAATAAGAAAAGATAGTATAATACTATGGATGCAACATGTCATTAAGATTTAATGGAGTATTTATTTATTTATCTAGTGATTTTATTCTGATAAATAAAAAAAGTGATCATCACTCAAGAAAATTAATAAGTTTCGATCGCGATAAAAACTGTATTGATTAAACTTCAATATAATTTTCGTAATCGAAACTCAAATTCAATTTATTCTTAATATTTCCAAATTAATACATTGGTTTTGTAAATATTTAAAAGACGGAATAAATTATGTTAAGTCAAATGTGTAGCATAGAATTAAGCATCAATTGTAATTACGTTTAATTAATAATTTGTTGGACTAGATTTTTGTTTCGCCGGTTATAGATTTTGAAAATACGCGGGATTGCTGTTACTTCCGGTTAAGGTACCATCTCAAACACGAATGTCATTTTGGAGTGTGTGAAGAATGTTTTGTTTCTGTCATTTAATACATTTAAGACAAGGACAGCCATAGTTTGAAAGTGATAATCAAGTGAGTTTTCTAATCTATGGTTCATCTCTTATATTCCACAAAATGGCCGACCTTATTTGAGAACCCTGTTCCGGTTTTTGTTTCCCCTCTGGCCCCGCTGCCGTCAGTGTAGTGTATCGTTCACCGCAAGAGAAAAACTGATAATATTAGCAATTTGCTGGTTTTATTACTTTTTTTCCCTTCCAACAAGTAAGTGAATTGTAATTATATCAAGTGGTTTTAATTTTAAGTGTAATCTTGAAGTGTCCCTGTTGTAAGTTATACATTTTGTTCGAGTCTGTGACTGTGACGCATAGAAGGAGTGCCCCTTGTAGCAGCCATTTTGCCTGAGCCGGCGACACATTTCGCAGTGCGGTTAGATACTGTTCAAAATTTTTGTGATTGGCGTTAATGTCGAAAATCTTAGATGTTTTTATTTCATTCAACAGTTCTGTAGCTTCGATACAATTCCTTTAGATATACGTTTGCACCTGGAGTTCACCAGTAAGTTGATTTCCTAATTCTTGCCTACATACCTACTTGATATCATTCAGCCTACATGTCCGCATTTATATTTTTGGAATACGCTGAATGTTTCTTGCCTTTTTTGAATTTTTTGTACATTTTATGCTAAATATTCCATTCCTTCTTCCCAATAAACGCTTGTGTGGGGGCGTGTCGAAGCGATTTGAACATTTTGAAAGGTGCCCACCTACAGTGATCTCAAATGCGTCGTAATTTTGTCGTGCGTAGTCACGCCGTTATCTTGGTCGATAACGACTTGTCAATTATGTTACTATGTGTTCTGCCCGTTAGGGCACGCCATGCCTTTTAATTTCGTTAAATATTAATTTGATTTCTCGTGTTAATTACTCCGACGTGCAGGTTTTATTGAGTCATGTTAATATTAGCGTTGGTGTGCCATGGCCTTTGCTTGGCTCGTTACGCCTTTCAACGAGATGGGCACGTGTGTGACATTGAATTGGGGGCAAATAGTTCTAGTCGGATAGTATGATATAATTACTATTATCAGCTCAATATATTGTTTCTATCATCTATTAGAATTGATATATTTCAATGCAATGAATCCTCCTTTGTAGAAACCCTTACTGAAGGTCAAATGTTTGAAGTTTCACTTTATGTTCATAGAACATGGTTTGGTTTATTCATTCCTAAGTTATTCTAGTCTCAAACATCTTATTTCTGGGTATAAATAGTCATTGGAGTATTTTTGTAAGTTTTAGAAAAACAGCAAATTGTTGAAGATCATAGCTACACAATATTAATTGGCTTGT